AAGGCTTTAACAGGAGTAGGTCCTTACTGTAGCAGAATCCAATCTTTGTGTTCCTGATACACTGCCTATTTCAAGAAGCATGGGAAGACATGCAGAACACAGCATGCATGTTAGTTTTCAAAAAAAAAAACAACAAACAAACAAACCCCAAACCATCACAGCAATGTGATTATAGCTCTGGTACTCACCTAGCTCTAAGGTTACAACTTAGAAAAGCAGAATTTGTTTTACACTCTCTATATATTAACCACTCCCAGTTTCAGTGGCTAACAAAGAATTCTAAAAAAACCTGCAGGCCAACTAGCACACAGACATTGGCACAGGTAATTTTATAAGTTATTTACTACTTTATGTAGTTCATAAGTATTTATTTAATATCTCAGAAAGAAAGGGGGTTTATATAGTAAAGACTTCACTTATTTTAACTTACGGAGTTTTCCACATGAATTCTTGAAAATATTTTGTGCTAGTGACAGTATCTACGATTTAGAAGAGCTCATCAAATGCAAAGATTCCTTCTTTGAGTTTTACTCATAAATACAATTTTCAGAACCTGAGACAACTCTGAGAGATTATGCTGCAGTTCTCATCCTGTCTGTTCCAACAAAATACATTTTTTCGCTGTCTTTTGTAAAACAAACTCAAGTCAAAGTTCATTCTCATGATACTACAGAGGCTGTTTTTAAACAGACAAGATCCCTCATGTGAGATGTGATCAACTTCCACTTCCAGAGGAGACTTTTGGGGTTTGCTTTTATTGTTTGGTTGTTTTTTCAATTCATATCAGTGTCTGTGCACACATATAGACCATTAAGTGCACACCAATGAAGCAGTGATTTCAAGTATGATCAATATTTAAGTGACCACTGCAGGGGGTAATGCACAGGTTACTCAAGTTTTAATAATCTCAAAATTATCTGAGTTTTCTCATGTCATTCTTGAATGCATGTTACTGCAGTTCAGAAGTGGGACTTCCATTGGTCTTAACTGCTGCTAATTACAAATTACGCATTAGATTATTAAATGACTTCTACTAAAATGTCATTTTATTTTCCTAGTTTAAATTACACTTATTTCTAACTATAATTCTGATTTTGTTACTCCAATGATGTAAAAAAGAAACTCCACATCTAGTAGACCTCCCTGAAATGGCAAAGCACCCTATGGTTAAACACAGTGTTAAATATACAACCATGCACAAGGCAGATGCTTTTACGCAGCAAAAAGGTCATTTGAACTTGATTCCCCTGTAAATCTCAGGCAAAAAAAGCACATCATGCTTAAAATAATACAAAACCAATACCATCAATCTGCATCTTCTTTGGCTGCATAGAAGGTGAAGACATTGAGGTTGTAACTCTGAAATTTGCAGGAAGAGTCTCTGCTGATCCAGCAGCTAAACCTCTGATGTCCTTTGGTCTAAACTTCTTTCTCCATGAAGGTGCTCTCCTAAAGCTCTTATCATCATCCTGTCATATTGATAAACAACATTAGCAATGCCAAAAATGGAGGATTGTTACTGAAGGATTGTTACTGATATTAAAAGGATTACTGACAATCTTAAGTAAATGTATCAACACTGAGTTAACTGTGAGGAAATAGCAAGTGTAATAAATATTGTATTGTCACACAGTGTTTTGCTTAAGCACTTGGGTAAACTTAACCTGAAATTACCCAAGTGCATTTTCCTTCACCCATTAATACACCTGCATCTTTCAAGTCATATTCCCACTTAAGAAATATAACATTGCATTTACTAAATACAGTTTGACTCCCACTTTCAAATCCATCTTTTGCAGTGAAGGTATTGTGTCCATGCAAATATACCCACTGGGCACTCCATTTGCCAGCTTCCCATTTAGAAACAGTTCAATCCTTTGAATGCCATTTTACCTGAAATGCATTCCCTTTTAGAATTAGGAGACAAGCATCTACGTTATTTGAAGAGATCTCTGTGATCAAACTGCCCTGTGCCACTGGAACAGAGAAAACATCTGTTCCCTCCAAACTCCTTTTGCAGTTTGAAATCTCTAAGGAAAAGTACCTCAGAAAACAATCAAGCTGTTTTTTGATATGTTATTAAAGCTTAGTAGAGATGCACACAAAGAACAGAGCTATCAGGATGTGCCACAGAAGGGCTGCAACAAGTGCAATAGGCAAGAGATGAACACAAAAACAACCAAGGCTCGTGGGTTTGCCACTTCAGCCTTAACCTGAACCACTTTCACTACATAAACTCCCATCAGCACCAAAAAGGAGGCAGCCCAGAGCTAAGACTGCCTTGGGGAAGTAACACCTGCTTGAAACTGTTCACAGAATTACAGCACAAAGCAACTGAAAAGGTTAAAGATGCAGCACTATCTCCCTTATGCTGTGAGTTCACAGGGTCTACAAAATAGCCTCACACATAAAGTTTTATACTCATTCCATTTCAGTGAAGTTTATACATTTAAGATCACAGACTGTCCGTCAGAAATCACTTTGATGTGTGAACACATCTGGTGATCCTCTGCTCTAGTATTAATCAAAATTAACACCACAAGATTTCTCAAAAAACACTCAAAGCTATTTGAAATACTGCTTGTTAGGACAAAGTGTCTTTCTCTATTATTAACTTTGTTAATTTGCCACACTGGTCACTAATTTTCCCATATTTTAGATAAAGAAGATTCAGTCCAAAGTGCTGCTATTAGATATTAACCACACAACCTACAAAAACAAACTTGCAAATCTTCTCCATACTTTCATATTCAAAGTCATCTTACCTAAATATACAAACTCTGCCATATTTAGAAACTCTCAAAGGCAAGGAGTTTCAAATTAAGATTTCTGTCACTATTCTGTCAAAAGCTTCAAAAGGTTCAAGTTAAATTCTTTCATTTAACAGTTCTGATAAGGTTTCCAGGACTGTAAAATGGGTCAACAGCTCAAGTAACTTACTTCATCAAGTCTTCTGTCAGTGCCCATAGCAAGAAGGTTATTAAATTCCCTCTCCAGAACAGCACGAGCCTAAAGTTTGTGGTATGAAAGAAATGGTAATTAATTCCAAAAAATTAGTAATTAGTAACCTATAATGATTTAAAAACCATAATAGAACCCAAGCTGTTTAATACTTTCTTATCAGATTAATAAACATACTTGATACTTGAAAAGCCAATACTTGAAAAGTCACAATTTAATTTGTAACTTATTAAAAATTTAAGGAAGACTTAACTTTCCCTTAGCTATGACATTAAAGTTCATGATTCTGACAATTATTTCAGAGTAAAAATTAGCAAACAACAAAAATGATGAGTAGTACACTTGTATTGTGAATATGAGCAATGAGGAAAATACTTAAACCATTTCTTTCCCCTCAAACAAATCTACCTAGGAAAATTGTTATTAACAAGCACAAAACTATAAGAAAAGCATAATTTTAAGTTTTTTCTCTTATATGATAATGGACAATTTTCCATTTCTGAACTTTCTAGAGCTGGGCATAGAAAGCCACGCCCATACCTATGAAAAAAACCCAGTCAGTTCCATTTTTAACCTTCTTACCAGCCATAAAGCAGCTTCTGCTTGCTTACCTGTGTGTTCTGGGTGGGTATTTGCAATAGGAGAGCTAATGCAATGTAATCAAAGGATTCATCTAAGGCCACAAGAGCACCATGAACTCCGCTCTCAAGAAGGTTATTCGCGTATTCTTTAAGACCGATGGACATGACCCAATGGATCATCCTTTCATTGCTCCACACAAGCACATCTGTGGAGGAAAAAAAAATGTTGGCAGATTTATAACAATACAACTTTTCTGAGCAAAATCACCCCCAATCATAAATTTCAAGTGGAAAGTAAACATAAGTTTGCTGGAAGGCGTTTCATACTGTAACAGGAAAGGGGAAGAAGAGCAGGCACTGAGGCTTCTAAGCAAGCTGTATACAAGGTTACCCCAAATTTTTAGTCTCAGATATCAGAAAAGACTTCTGATATTAGGCAGGGAACAAAATTTCTATGGGAAATCTTGGAAAACTGAATTTCCACCCTGTTTTTTCTTGTTCCTCCTTGTTCCATAATTACCACAAATTTGGGAGATCTAAATATCTAAGTTAGTTGGATATTTTCTTATAAACTGTTCGGGGAAAAAAAAGAAAAAAATAAGGAAACCCCCCCCCATCCTCCTAAAACATTTAGTTTCAAACTTCAGAGCAGTAAGAGTTTCAAGACTGCTCACGTTTGTAGCACATCTCTGCACAAGTAAATGATTTAATTATGTGTTTCACCATTCACTGGTCAGGGCCTACATCCAGACATCTCCTGCATTTAACACTTAGTATTTTATAAATGATTCCTTGCTCTAATGCCTTTTCTTTGTTAATAAATTTTTGAGGCTGATCAGTGAAAACATGTTAGAATCAGACTGAGGTCAAGGCACCACACTAACCCTTGATTTCATTCTGGCTTTCTTCCCTTTTTCTTTCAAGTTCTTTTCGATCATAATTCAGTCTTCGTAGGCACATGATTCCACACTGAAAACTGTTTCTGTTCAGAAGAGAGAAAAAGAATGGAAAAAAACCTTAGAGACAATGAAAACATTTACTGAAAGTTAGGCCTCCAGCTTAAATCTCTTTACCTGTGAAAGCTGTCCACCATTTTGAGCTGCCCACGCAGGTCTTTTTTAGTTAAATGGTCCAGCATTCGAGCATCCACAAGACATTCCATGAAATAGCTGCGGTACTGAGGGAGCCCCAGGCTTGGGAGCCACTCATTGCCAATCCACTCATGGTTCATATCACCATAGGCAAGTGTCTGTTTTTTAAAAAAAAATTTAAAAATGAGAAATAAAAGAAAAAGCTATTTTAGACAGCATATTTTAAAGAAATTGCTCACTTAATTCTTAGCCTGTGAAGGTAAGCACATCAAAATACTGAATACCACATGTGTGTTTTCTGAAGAAGGAATCCTCATGGAGAAAAGCAAGTTCAGATATGCAGATCAGCAAGTAAAACTGCCTTAATATATTTCAAGGAATAGTATGAAAAAAACATGCAAGAGCTAATAAAAGTAAAAAAAAGGTTAATCTATGTGGTTTGATAGCAAAAGCCATAGAATTTTCTTGTGTTGAGATGTTACAAATGCTGACTCTCTTGATAACTGGGGGGGAATCTTATTTGTCATGTGACTTTTTAAAGACAAGATATCAAAAATATAACTACAGAGGGGTTTTAATACACTTAGCTATTTTCACAAACTGATAAAAACCTACTACTGAAAAACAAGCCATTGTAAATCCCAGTCCTTATCCCAAGAGACTTTTCTCATTGCAGTTTTGATCTGCAAATCAACCTGGCATTTTTTAGAGAAAACATCTAAAAAGATGAGAGTTTGTAAGAGTTTGTAACTACATATCTAATAATTCCTTAAGCAGCAAAACCCAGCAGTTCCTTTTTTCAAAAGGGTAATAATTCCTTTTGTTCTCCCCCTGTGCATTTAAAAGTCAAAAGCTTCATTTGCCCTCTGGAGGAAACACCTTCCAGAAAGGAACAGGGCCACAGGGAAATGCACTTCTCCAAGCCATCAGTAGGTAGCAGAGTAAAGTTACTGTGGGCACAGGGAGCCAAGCTGTGATTGTTATCACTGACAATGAGCAAATGAGTATCAGAGACTTAGTTAATGGGACTTAACCAGGTTTAAGCTGGAGGGCAGCCAAGCAAGAAGAGACTGTGCTGTCCAAAGATATGGGGCAAGGGTAAATCCTGAGTTTTGTTTATATCCCTGTATAAATACCCAACTATATCAATGCCTGAAAATACAATTAGGATTTGTCACCACTTTAAGACAAAACAATTAATCAAGGAGGATTACAGAATTAGTGCATAGAAATCTACTTAACTATCTAGGCTCAGGGTGTTTTGCAGCACACCTGTGATGGTGGCTGGGTTTAACAGGGACTTCCTGCACAGAGCAGTTATTTTTCCTGGAATTCTGGCTTCCCAGAGAGCCAAAACACTAAAATATTGAAATCACCTAAATATAAAGAGGTGTCTTCCAAGTATGCATTGTACAGAGATAAGACTGTAGTTCCCCCCCCTCCCAATCCCAAAGCCACATCCAAAAAAATCACTAAAAGAGGCTGCTATAAAGGAAAAACAGATTCTTTCATGCTCTAATGATTGTGACAGTTTACATACAGTCTATAATATTAGATAAAGTTTCCAACCTGAGCCCAGCTTCCCTCCTCATCTTCCTGTTATGTGGTTAGAAAAGCAAAAGAACACACACATATTAGTATTTAAGTTTAGTAAGGAGATCAACGTTAATGGTGCACTGCAAGACTCTACTTCTACTGCATACCAAAAAAAATCTAGAAAAAGCAAGCATCATGCAATGTAAAAAATCATAGAGAAGGCACTTATTTCGCATGGGAAGTTGCAAAACCCATCTACTGATTAAGTTTTCTGAAGAGAAGAAATTTCTGCACCAATACTTCAATTTGGCTATTAGTTAATCAAATCAGAGCTCCATTTTACAGATTAGAGTTTTGTTTACAATCTTATCAATGCTGATTTACTTTTTTTTATTCCCTTCTGGAAAAAAAAATATCAAGATGCAGGTTACAAGGTTAATAAGTAGAAGAAGCAACAATCCAGAATTTTAGTGTGTTAATTTGAAAAAAAAAAAAAAGAAAAAAAAAGAAAGAAAAATCAAAAGGTACTTGATTCAAAAGTTCAAAAAGTGGGAAAAGCACTCTAAGGAACAGAAGTGGCAACACTGTAAACTAACCGTTTGTTGTGTGGCTGTAAGATTTTCCATTTCTTCATGTGTTACCCAGACATTTCCCGTGGTCTAATATGAGCCCACAGGGAATCAATCCCATCCAGTGAAAGGAAAGCAGTAACAAAGAGGAGAGGTTGCAGAACAAATAAGCAATCGGTACATGTAAGGAGCAGGCATGGGCAAAGCAATGGTGGCTAAAGTCAGGTACAGGTACATCTACTGAAAGTCATGGCATGCAATAAAAGCTACTGACAGGGACCAAATTCCTTCAGAGATTAACAAAGCTGAACATCATCAATAGCTTACACTGATTTAATCAATGGGTAAACACTTGGCTCTGTTCTAACCCAAAAAATGGATTTGTAATCTAGTATGTAATCCCAGGAATAACTTTAGATTGCAGGGCACACAGACTCCTGAGAGACAGTTGAACTCCTAGTTTATACAGTGAATTATTTGGAGTTGATGGCCTTATATGTGGATTAAAAAAACCTCTGACTATTTTACAATTTTCTGCACACACATCTACTTTGTCTGTATTATAAAGTTTGCCAAGTCCCAAAGATGAGGCAAATAACACACACTCTAAATATTTTGGATTACACATACTGAAATAAACTTCCCTTTCCCTTGAGAAAGAAAATAGAGTTATTCCTTCATTTAATTCCCACGAAAGGAAGAAACATCCTACATTTAAATAATGTGTTCCTTCTACAACTTAATGTTTCCATAAATTCTTAGTAGAAGCTCAAATCCTTCCCATTACATATTTACAGTGAAATTTTGGGAAATTCTAAAGATGTTCCATGCTGGATCACTTTCCTTACCGTCCTTGAGGTGGGAGGGGCAGATGGGCTTGTCAGTGACATGATTTCTTGGATGGCCAGCCTCAGCTTGAGCCTGTGCAGGGGGTTGCTGATCCCAATTTCCCGCTGTATTTCCGTGTCAGACAAGGCTGACATGATAGCACCACTTTTCACATTTGCTCGGCAAGCAGCCACATACCAGGCTGGCATCCCAACCCACAGCTGGAACACAAAAACAGGGAGTACACAGGATCTGGGAAGCAGTTCCAGCTTCAAAACCTTCAATTCTTTAGAAGGCTTTTTGTTTATTTTGGAAGGGCCACTTACCTCCAGCCACACAACCACAGTAGGCCCGTCCCACTGTGCAAAAGGCAAACCTTGTCTTCTGGCTTCCTCCAGCAGTTCATGCCTAAAATTACAGACACAGTTATGACTTATAATTGATGTTACAATTTAAACACTGCATTCAAACTACCTTCTTTCCAAGAGTTAACTTACGCCTTATACGATACACCTCCTAAGGCAGGTACAGCAACATGTACAAGGAGTATGTAGGGATGAAAGCTGAACTGGACTGGAAATTTGAGAGCAGCAGAGATGCTGGATCTTGCCTTTCAGAAATTTGTGTCTAAAAGCCCTAGTGACACTCTAACCAACACTCCCAACCCAAAGAGGAGATGTCAGACTCATCTGGCAATCAAATTCTCAACTGCAGTAGTTTTCTGCACAGCAAATTAGACCGGACCAAAGTAGTCATTTCTCCTCAAGGTGCAGATCTGAAACCTGCAGCAATGCAAGACCACATCAGATGCCCACATCCATCAGGCTGTCAAGGCTGGAAACTGGGACAGTGACCATTTAACTGGTGAATCTCAGCTTGCACCAGCCTGTCAGAATTCCAGGCAGAGCTTCAGACAACCATTATATTCAGAGACCCATGCTTTGGCAATTACAGCCCGAAAGGCTGTGTACTGAAACTCAGCTTTCATCTCCTGTGGTGACACCATTTCCTCTGTTATTCTGAAAGAGAAGAGCCTAAAGTTTAATATTGACAATTCAGTTTATGGAAACCATGGAAGCTCACAAGGTCCCTATAAATAGCTGCCAAAAATGTTTGATAAACCAAAAGACAAAAACCAGTGTTGTGGGTATAGCCATGCAATGCTGCTTGGCTATGCCTGCCTGAAAAAATTGATAAAGTCTAAAAAAAGCATATTGACACTGCCTTTGAAAGCTAGTTGTATATGGTTAAGCCTCCACTCACCCTCCTTAGAAATTCTGAAAAAACAACTTGACCTAATTAAACAGTTTTTACTGTTTTATGTTATTTATTCAAGCCTGCAAATGTAGAATTAAGAAGATAAGCAGCAATACTACAGAACCAAGGTCCTACATTATGTATTTAGCATTTTCTCACTATTTAAATCAAATAAAATCTTCTTGCCTTCTGAACTGTGTCACGGGACAGATCTAAGATGATAAAATATTTAGAAGTTTATATATATATATATTAAAAAACATGGGGCATCTTGAACTGACAGAGTAGGAGCTTTTTTTGCTACTAGTACAAAATGGATATGCAGCATTCTGCTCTTTTAGACATATATGGGATCCTCCTGTTATATTGGTAGATAATGCTAAAAAGCAATCAATGAAGTAATAAATATACTAGCAACTGTTTTATCAATAGATGGTACTTCACCTGCATGACAATAAATTCCTACTGCTCCAGAAGAACCTCCCAATAATTTTTCCTAATTACATGTGCTGCCCAGAAATGGAAAAAAGGGAGGAAGGAAGGGAATACCAGACAACTGGTTATAAATAGTGATTCTGAGGTACCATTTAAAGACTCAACAATTAAGGTGGAATAGTGTTCAGCAGTCAGCAGCTTAATAGCTAAATTTCACTACCAAAGAAGAAAAGAGTATAAAAGCGAAACCATATTTGTACACTTCAGAAAGATATATCTATTTCTAAATAAGAAATAAAAGATCAGTTATTTTCCTGCTGCTGTGGAACACTTCACATTAATCCCAGAAATCACTAGCCCTGAACACATTCAGTTCTGCTTTACTTTGTTGCTTAAAGTTTTAAAAATTAGTGAAAAAATTAAAATGCAAGAACAGATTAAAATGCTTAATACTGTATTTGCCAGAAAGGAATACAATGTTTTTTCCAAGAACTTTAACTTCCAAATTGATGTCTTTGTGTTTCTTTTTGATGGTTGTATTGTATGGAGTTCAGAGAATTTCAGTGTAATTTCTGGGAGTTTTATAAATCTCACTGTGTACTTCATGTGAACCATGACACAGTAAATCCTTGGGAATAGTACAGGGAATATATAAAAAATGTAAGGAGAGGTTATGATGCAAACTTGAAACCCACAGTGGTATAATAATGCAGAAAAAGACTGTGTGGCTGGAAGGGAGTGTTATGGGATGGAAGCAAACATGCAGAAATAGAATCAAACAAAATAAAAAATGTTTATGAGGTATCTTTATGCAGAAATTATTCAATGGATCCAAAGAGGAGTCAACCATGAAGTGGAAAATTAATTGCAGAATTTGTTCATGTGCAGTAAGAGAGAAAAAATTTGCTTTCATGGGAAATCATTAAACCTCAAGATGTAGCACAGGCCCAAAGCATCTCAGAGAAAGAATTCAGAGACAGCTGCTGTTTCATCTGCAAATGATGCATAAATGTTTATTTTCCTATAGCACAGAACTTTCCTTTTCCAACTATCCCCTTCCAGCTTTCCCAAGACATTCACTGCATTCCAGTAATATGTGATGGAATCCCTGAAAGATCACAACTCTCAGGCCCACCTGAGTTTCACAGGCCATCCAATTCCCCCAGTTAGGAAGTGGGTGCAAAATCCAGCCTCACATCTTTGTGAGGGAAAAAAATACTGCAGCAGTGTCAGCAGTGTTAACAGATGGGATAAACCTGGCACTGTGAGGGATAAAAAAATGTCAAAGGAGTAGCTGGCTACTAGAATAACTCCTAGGTGACAAAACCAAGGGATAGATGTCTACAGACTTAATAAAAAAATTAGCAGAAATTCACTTGGAATGGGAGCCCAAACATGCTGCTGCTTGTTGTTAGACACATTCCAGAGGCATCTCACACCAGCTGTGGAGAACAAGGGAACTGTGGACATAGGGGATGAGAAATATGTCCAAACTCCAGGTGATTGGTGGAGCAGGGAATGCACAAGACCCTTCAAAGACCATCTGAAGGATCTGTGTTTGGAATGGCTCTTGACAGACAAGGATACAATAACCTCAATAAGGAAAATAAAGCAGCCCCGAGCAAGCTCACTTTGTCACTGGACTAAGACAGCATGGGAATGGATAAACTCAGGCCTTGTAGCCAGAGGGGAATAATGTATTCCAGATTTTCTTGGAAGGAAGTGAAGAGAACCGATTTGGAAGAAGCTCAGAACAGAGAAAACACAGTAGTGGGCAGGAGAAAAGAGTGATACTGATGGAAGTGAGAGTTTAAAGGTGTAAAACCTGAAAAGCAACAGTAGACAACATGAAAATAACTGACCAACTTCAGGTAGAACATCAGGGGAAATTTAATATCCTTATTATAGGTTAATTTCAGTTATGTAAATAAGCTTATTGTGTATAACTTTAGGAGAGGTATCTTAAATTTAGGTTTGCCTTCCTTTTTGATTAATACAGTATTAAGTTTGTTGGGCTTGTACACAGAAAAGCACAAACAATTGTGGCAAACATTGTCAATACACAAAGATAATGAACACAACACTAAAACCAACATAGGTTTAGTAAACAGAAGCAACAGTTCTACAGAATTACATCTACCGTGGAAACAAACTGCCACAAATACTTACTATTGCTAAACAACTTTCAAACCCCAAACTACAAAACTAATTTAATCTCAGTAGGGGTAAATATTTCCATCATAAAAATTCACACCATGCAAATTAAGACAAGACAATAAACTACATTTCACATTGCACTAGGTGACACTGGATTTATTTCAGCAACACATTTTCATAATATATTCTTTTGAATCTAGAATTTCCTCTCATAATCAGACTTTTTTGAAAAAAGTTAGAGCTTTTAATATATTGCTAAAAAATCCAAATGAGATCTATCACACTTCCACAAAAATCCTAATAAAATAAATATAAACTTACCCTGATTTTGCACTACCACATGAAATGGTAAACAAAAAAAGAAAAATAAAATAATGAAAGAAAAATTTAAAACTAGGATTGAACTGAACTCAAAGGCACACAAAAACAAATAATGTGGACTGTAATTTAATTCTGTAGCTATAAATAGGTTTTTGTTAGCAGCCATTGAATACTGCCCTCAGCCTGTTTGTGCACATGCATGCAGAAATCAGAAAGATAAGCAAGCAAATAGGGATTAGAGACAACTAAAAATAGAAGTAGCTGTCATTGTTCCAAGTGTTCAGGTAACTGGAATTCTTTCTGCGGAATACAAGATTTTATAAAAGCAAACAGTCAGCCCCAAGAATTTGTTTTAACCCACCGTCCTCCAATATCAAAATGAAAAGCAATTCAGAGCAGCTTTCCCAGTTTTTCCTTTAGATATCCGGCATCGCAAGGGATCTTTGACCCCTTGTGATAACATTGTTCAGAAACCTGCCAGGCTTCTGAAGCAGCTGCATTAAAATATCTCACTGGGATTTTTAAAATTATAGAGTTAGATTATATTCATTTATTTGAGAAAAAGCCAAGAGAAGGCTCCAGGGGGACCTTAGAGCCCCTTTCAGTATCTAAAGGGGCTCCAAGAAAGATGGAGAGGGACTTTGGAATAGCTAGGGAAAGCAATTCCAAACTAAAAGCTTTCATTTGTTTAAGACAGACACTTGCCTCTTAAGCAGTCAACAACATGCAGCCATAAATTACACTTTGAGTAATACCAGTATAATTTTGAAGGGCAGAATGTTTACAAGGAAAGCCATGATTTATCTGCAACTGCACTTTTTGCATTTCTTAAAGCAAGGCAGTGTAGATTGTGTAGTCTCCTTGAGACTGAAATTTGTGGCTAGCATTGAGAAATACCAATACTGATCAAAGAACAACCCTACCCACCATTTAGATATGACCAGACTATAACTATTTATTCAACCAAGATGTGGGGTATCACTTTAAAGCTCTGTAGAAAAGGGGAAAATCCCGGGTCATAATAACATATGATTGCCTTCAGTGCAGCAGTCTGAGGAAAAACAGCTGAGCCTTCTGTTATACAAACAAACCCACATTCCATTCCGACTTTCCAAACCAACACACTGCTGGTTTTCATTAGCAGCCACCAGGCATTATTCTTATTTGTTAATAGAACTTAAGTACTGCAAAAAAATCCCTCACAAAGAGAAAATTAACACACTTTTTTTTTTTCAATATTCACTGACTTCAGAAGGCAAGTAAAAAAGCAAGACCCGTCTGATCTTTGTCAGCTTTTTGACACAATCAAGGCAGCTGAACAGAAGCAACAGAAGTTCAAGGTATATGGCTCAGCTTTCGGTGAAAAAATGCAAAGAATGCCTGATCCTACTTATATAAATTTCAGTGTTTCCTGTATTACCAATATAAGCCTTAAATCAAGATTTCTACTGCTAGCAACGTCTATTTTACACCTATAATTACAATCTTTGCTACATCTCTAACTCTGAGAATAACAAGGATGCAAATAGATACTCAAAAGCTGAACAATAAACTAAAGATTTCTTGGACAAAGAGCAAAAAAATTCTCATGACTAGGAAAAGGTAAATGCATAAATGGTGCCATAAAAAAATAGTCACAATAGATTAAAAAAAGAGGAAATTGGCGTTATATGGTGCAAGAAAAAAGATATCAGCTGGTAAAATATATGACAGAATGTCAAGAAAACCTTAAACAGAAGTGAAAGAGTTAAGTGAAGAGAAAAGCAGTTTGCAGCTATAACACAAAAGGGCAGAGAAGAAACAGCAAATTCATACAGAGGGATGTCAGCACTGAGCATCTTGTGCTTTCACTCTGTCAACTCCTTCACACTCTAGAGCAAGTAACAGCCTCAGACAACTTTGGGAAATTTTCCAACTGAATCAAGCCCAAAGCAGGTATTAAATATAACAAATTTCAGGGGGGGGGGTTGATAAGAGTCCTTTTATCTCTGAGTTTATTACAACATTCCAATAATAAGTTTTCAGCACTGAAATTCATTTCAAACTTACCATGACCTCTGCTACTATTGATGTTCAGAAAAAATAGTGAAAAAAAGAAACCTTCAGAGGCTTACTAGCCATAGCACCATACTAGTCAAAAATATCCAAAAATGAAACTAAAAAATAAACCACAACATTTTTAATGAAAGCAATACTTTACCAACAGAGGACTAAAAATATTTGATAACTTACTTTTTCTGCATTTTCCTGTTTTTTTCTGCCTGACCTCCAAGCTTGCTGAGACCTAAGGCATCCTGAGAGGAACCATCTGCTTCTCCCATGCCGCCTAAAACAAACAACCCAAAAACCAGCCTTATGTTCTCAATCAAGTATTTAATCCTTTGTGATATTTCTGATCATGTACAAAGCTAAACCCCCAAGCCCACACCTCTTACAAAACAAAAAGCAAACCCACCTTGTCCTAATCCTTCCTTGCTTGTTTGTCCAGGTCGTCCCTTTTCCTTCTTGCCAAACAAGCGGCCGATGGAGGATTTGATCCCCTTCTTTTTGGGAGCTTTGTGAAGGGAATCTTGGCTACTGTTACTGCTACTTGGATTACTTGTTTGCCCATCTTGAGAACCTGTTGAACTTTACCCACAAAAAGAGTCAGAAAGGAGCCCATGTAAAACAAATTCACCAGTGTAACTGTGAGAGACAAGTTCGGGGTTCTGTGCAAGTTAATTAACATTCAGTAACTCACTAATGACATCTAATTTCAGCTTTTTTGAGTCAAGAAAAGAAATTTATCCATTAAAATAAAAATAATTAAATAAAAAAACAGTGAAAACAACGCAAGAAAAGAAGAAAGGGAAATAAAATCTATATACTATAATATGGAACTACAAGTCAATAGAAGTGTTTAAAGTGCAACTCAGAGAGGCCAAAATTGCCAACACAAGTTCCTGACCAACTGAGGCAGACAATGAAAGTTTGAAACACTTGAGTGGAATCCATCCCCGGCACTTTGAAAAGACCATCTGTCCATCCAAGTGATGGTTATTTTGCAAGTTATTTCTAAATTTATACCTAAATTCCAACTTGAAGAGTGGAATTGCATATTTCTCATTTCCTCAACACGAAGAAAACTTAATGCAGATTTGAGTACCAGAAGAATTCTTCACATAAAGCCATTTCTGATCATTAACAAAACCTGTATTCTTATTGTTTCTGCAACAGTATGTGTTCATACTCTTGACTTTCAAGAAACACTTCAACATCCAGACTAAAATCCTACAGGCTGAACAGTTCTGCAGATTTAGGATTTTATTCTGATGATGTGAAAACTGAGTTTCTGGTAGGTCTGAGTGTCCCAGGCACTTACTTCCTGATGTCCCTGATATCTTCATGGCTCACTGTGTGCAAAGCTCCTTTCTGGACTCTGTCCAAACGCAGAGACCGAGGGGAAGAAGGTGGTGACGTCTCACATTTTATTGTGGTTTTATCATCTCGTACCTCTTCTCTGGAAGCTGGAGACTAATGGAAAATAAAGGAAAACTTGAGGGGGAAATGCCAAAACACAAATGTAGCATCAACACTACACAAAATACTGAAAGGAGAAATCAATTATTTCAGTGTTAAAGGATTACTCTTGCCATTACCATTCTCCAGTTGCTTATTTTTTGCTTGACTTCCTTCTGAATTTCCTGTTACCTTCAGTGACAAACTACTAAATTTCAGTCTTAGCTACTGAAATAAGCCAGTAGCGCTTCTTTAGTTCATTCAGAGAGCTAAGAACTAAAGTAATGTCGTAGCACCACAAAACCAATGTACCTCACTTCAGTTTGAGCAAGTGCAAAAATCAAAAGAGTTCTGTGAAAAGGATCATTGGCAAGATTACTGACTTGATGAAGTCTTCACACTTGTGGCTATGGTTGATCTTAAAGTTTTAGAAATTATAACTTCACAGATCTTTAAAATTAAACAATGATGCATCAAGACTGCAAAACAGTGGTTACAAACAGAAAGCAGCACAACAGTCTCCACATAGCAAAAAAAGGCAAACAAACAAAAAAAAACCCCACAAAACAAACCCACACGTATGCTAAAATGATAAACCATAATCTTGCTTTATTACAGAGTTACCCTACAAATGCTTTCTTTTATGTTCCTGTTATCCAGTAATGAGTTCGGGGGCAGGGAAGGAGATGAAGGAGCACATCATTAAACAAACTAAAGATTTTTACCTTTCTACGGTGTTTCCTTAAATCACTAGGCTGACAGATGCATGCAAAGAAAAGAAATTTGGAAAAGCTGTATTTATTGTAAACTGCAGCACAGACTGAAACAACTAGTACAGAGACAAAACATCTTAGGGAGAATATAAATAACAATTACAACAATGGCACAGAGAAAGATACTGAGTATGAAGTACTCTTCAAACTACAGATTACTTAAAATGTATCCCAGAAGAGAGGAAAAGAAAAAAACACTTAGAAACTTATCTACTGAAGTACTGTAGATGTTTGAGTGTATTGATACTCCAGGCAAATTAGCACACAAAAAGTGCAACATCTTCAGCAAGAAAAACAGTGAAGTGTTGCTTTTAAAAGGTGAGAGATTTCCCCTTATGTGTCAAGGGCTTGCCTTGAACCTACACATCACCCACAGCAGCCTTAAATACACTGCCTGCACTAGTCCCTCCTCACAACTTAGTGGTTCCTGCAGCTCTTTCCTACATAGCACAAAAAGCAGCCAGTGTTTAATAACTGTGAAAGATAGGAGTGCCAACAATAGCTGGTTTCTATACAGTAACAGGATTCTGTTCTAAATTTGAAGTGCTGAAATGTTTGAGCAAGAGTCCACCTAAAGTTTTATTTTATCCTCCATCCGCTCCAGAACTCCTCATTTCCCAGGTACTGCTCGCCTCTGCCAGTGCACAGAGCAAGGCAAAAACCTTGAGTTACACAAACAAGTTATTCCCACTGATGCTGACAAAAGTTAAATTTAGGTAATTTGTTTAACAGTTCTATTATTTAAAAAGACAATAACCAAAAATGAAGTCAGTCCCCTTTGAAGTGGGACAAGGTGGGGGGAAGTGGGACAAGGAGGGTGTTGCTTCCCTCCCACAAAGGATGACTTTATTATTTTTGATTTAGAATACATGTAAACTATGCAGCATTAATATGGAAAGTTTTGTTCAATCTGACTGTAGAGTACTACATTAATAAATCATTCAGTGAATCATAGAAGGGACCTTTAAAGACGATCTAGTCCCTCCTCAAGTTCTTGACAAAACACCTGACTCATTTTACTCTTGCTGGATCTTTTATCTATTAAATCTGATGCTCCATAAAAATGCAAATGTTTACTATATGGAATGAAAACTGTCCACGAGAGCTGCAGGCTTCACAATTTATCACGTTGATGCTTTTTAATCATGAGGGGCTTTCAACTGGCTGAACTGCAGAACCACTACTGCAGGCAGCCTTAAGCTAATTTGCCTACATGATCATAAACTGATGCAACTTCCTATTAAAACATTGACAAACACAGCAGAACTATTATTTAGTCCAATAATTCATAACAGTTGTTCCAGAAGTTTCTAGAAAGCTCCTGTTCTGTAATTCTAGAAGCATAGCTTCTTGTTTTCAAGCTTTCACAAATCTGTTTCCAGGTACAAAACCCACCAAATGCAACTGCAAACAGTGACTTTGATTCACAATTATGATGTAAAGTCAACTTTAATTACAGTTCACTTTTCTTCAATTACATTAGATTACAAGACACATTCTCCTAATCCAGTTTTTTGGAAAAGAGCTACTTAAATTTGTATATGGTTTTATGCATGAGAAGTACTTTGCTTATCTACTTATTACTGTGAAATGTTAAAAGATAAAGCACCCCATATCCTGAATTTTGATAGCACAATTAGTAAGTACAGTTTCCAAAATGATATGGAAATCTGGAGACAAGGTAAAGTGTCTAGAACCAAATCAGAAAAGGAGCTTTTCCTGGAGAGTGCTTGCAAATAAATACCAGTATCCAAGATGTTCCTTCCTGAAAGGCATCCTAAAGATGAGAAACTGTTTGGTTTACTTAACATCTATGTAAAAACATGAAAGGGGGAAAACTTGTATCTTGTTTTTACAGATATGTTTCCATGTACAAAGCAGCTCCTAGAAGGATTAATTTTTCTAAGCAGTCATCAGAATGTCAAAAAAATGGATCTATCTTTCTTTACTCACCGAACTGCGAAGCCTGAACTACTTCATCAGCCCCAAGGTCTAACAGAAATGTCTTTTCCCTACCAGTCTTAATAGCCTAAAACAGGACGGTAGCACTCATTATTAATAAAACAGCAGTGATACCACCACAGTCTTCAAGATTAATATGCAAATCACCTTTTAGCTGAATTTTAATGGAATAGTGGACTGCTAAAAATGAAGTTTAAAGCAGAGGGAGAAAGTGGTTGAAAAGAAAACATTATTTCTTGTAGGAAGGGGAGTCTGAAAAAGACCATAACAACAGAAGGAATACTTAGGCCAAGATGACCAAATAATAGGAAAGCTTTTCCTAATCATTATGAACTGTATCTTACACTTTTTATAAAAGTTGAAAGGAAGTAGCAGAAAAACCTAGAGAAAGGAAAAATACAGTAAGTATCTAAGTGAGTAAGAAGGAGAGGAAGGGGAAATCAAACAACCCATTTCCTAGAGAAAAGAAACGCTCTTCCAAAAAAACCCTGGAGTTAATAGGCACTTACCAGTGTCATGATCCCCAACCTGTCCACTTCCCGAGCTGGGCTGTGTGGGATCCGCCTCGGGGTGGAGCGGCCACTGCCAGGGGGGGAGGAACCAGCCAGGGAACCACTGGCATAGGAAGGAGGGATGGAGCTCATGGAGCGGAACCGGCCGTGGGAATCCAGGCTGCCACTGCCCACCCTGCTTTCAATCTCCTCTGCTCGCTGCTCTGTGTTCTCCTTCTCTTCTTGGATAAGCCTAAGGGATAAAAGAGTTTTAAAGGAATGTGACATTCAAACAAGGGCCATATGACAAGAAGGAGTGGGGCATTAGGAAGGATCAGTACAAAATGACCATTTTCCAAGTGATTTTTATCAAAGCCCTGACAGCAGACAGGCCATACCTGATCTCTTTGTTGATGGCATCCAACTGTTCCTGAAGCATTATGGCCAAAGTCTGAGCATCAGCCTGACCACTTGGTGACAGCAGATCAACTGAGCTGAATATGGTCTCTCTGTCATCCTCCACATCAGACACATCAACATCACTCTCAAATGCTTGTGCCACATTTGCCAACACGCTTGCTTGCTGGGCTCGCTCCCAATCCTGCTCATTCAGAGTCTGAACCTAAAAGAATCCATGAAAAAAAATCCAAACGCAATGGACAAAAACATGATGTTTCTATTGGTTTTCAAGATGTTTAAAATAATTTTTGTAAGTCCACTTACATGCTGAATGCATCCATCAAGATAGCAGTTTTTAGAGAAATGTAAAGAAAAAAAGCTATAATGTAGGAAACTTTTAAATTTCACTTCACTGGAAGATGCAAAATGGACAGGCTTATTGAATAAATTCAAACATCACATATCTTGGCTATATACACTTTGAATTATGGTAGAATTTTGCTATCAATTCCTTGCAAATTTTTGAATCAGTCCTGAAAGGGACTTGAAATAATTTGCAGAACAGTAACACATTACAATAGTGTATAGACACAGAATTAGGACTCTTTTAAATTATATTTTATAGGCTTAGCAAAATTAAAAACCAAAATTTGAGTTCCAAACCATAATCTTGCAATTTTTGCTAACAATTACAAAGACCAGTAGTGGTGCATTAGTCAGTGAAAGAGGATCTATAAAATCTACTTTATTGCTAGGTACTCCAGTTCTAAAAACTCTTTACAATGATTAGCCCTATGTAATCTATTTTTTCGTCACAGATTTATTTGTATTTTCATTTCAGAGTTCTGTTACCTTTGAAGGTTCATCTCTGAGAGCTGCCAAACGTCCCTTCTGGGGACGCCTCAGCACGGAGGAGGTGCCAAAGGAGTCTGTGTGAGTGTCACCCACAGAGGAAGATGTCATAGGGAATCTGAAATCTGGTCTGCTGGCACACAAAAACAATCATTTTAGCTTTACAAAGGGAGGGGAAAGAGGGAAAGAAACCAAAAAATTCACCCAAATGATTTCTCTCTTCCTACTAGTGCCAATTGCTTTTAGGCACTGCATAAAAACTGTCTTATATGTTCTATAAAAAATAGATTTTATAGCTATATAACAGACAAAATTACATTTCGCATAGTGACTTTAAAGAAAATAGAAAAAATTGAAATACTGCTGGTACCTATGATGGAGTGATGTGGCTCTGAGTCTCACTTGGTCATTTTCAGCCCTTAATGCATCAACATTTATCGCAAGTTGATCCTGCAAAAATAGATAAATCAAATACATAACATATGCCTTAAGAAAAAACAATCAGTATCAAATAGGCATTTATAAACTAACATTTAAGATTTTGGTCTCATTTCTATGAAACTCAGAAATAACAGATTTTAAAAACACACCCATCAACAATATAAAATGTAAAAACTGGTTTTGCTGCACACAATACAGCACTACCACAAAAGGCCATCCCAGAGTAATTCTGCTGCCTCTCTACGCTGACTCTAGTAATGACAACATACATTTTAAAAACAGCAATGAAATAAAATTCGCATGTTACTAACTTAATTATTATAAAGTGATAATAAGAAGAAACAAGAAGATTTTTCCAGCTCTCTTCACAGAAGGTTCTAAAAGTATTCACTTCGAACTTGGAGATTTTGACACACCCTAGAAACTCTGAACTTAACAGCAGAGAAATCCAATGAATGAGAAAACAAGAGAAGACCAATAAAAAGTGGCTGATGATGAACATCTGTGCCTTGTGTGAAAACTGCTGGCGTACACATACAAGAATTTCACATTTTACAGAACATTCTTCTTTTTATTACAGAAGCACAGCCTCCAAATCCTGTCCTAGAGACTTACCAGAGTGATGTGGGAAGGTGCAGTACACCTGTGATTTAACAAGCTATAACAAGTATTATTTCAGAACAGATACTGTGACCACAAAATCATCTGCCACTGCTTAAGGATGCAAAGATATGAAAGGCCTCGCCACTTATTTAAGGAAGGAAAACTCGTCATTTCCAGGGCAAGCACAACACCAGACAGATGCTATTAAAAAGCAGCAGCCAAGTCTAATAAATTAAAGAAAATTTTTAGCAGTTGCACACGCATTTCATATCCAAAGCTTTAAGAAAACCTTACGGGAAAATGCTCAACATTAAAAATGTATCTCTTTTCTTTATGCTGTTCAAGGTCATATGTACAAAAATATAAAAATTCTACACAATCCCCAAGCTTGGGCAAACTGCCAACATATCCAGGCACTTTACATATTCAGAAGTTTTTGAGTAAAAGGTTATGTATTACCTATAAAAGCCTCATAAAACTGAGGCACACAATACCATAAAATGAACTACAACTCCCTTCTTTTAAACAGAGCAGGTAATGTTAAGTTCTGTGGGGAATTAAAACCTGATCCTGCTATGTAGCAAGGCAGCAATGATGCTCCAACAGAATATTTTAGAAAGTGTACCTTTTCATGCTGAAGCTCCTCTATTTGTTTTTTTGCATTTTCAATTTCTCGAAGAAGTGAATTCTAAAATAAAAGGTATCACAGAGTAAGTCACTTGTAAAAAGCTTTACACTTTTAAACCATAACCATGAGGACTATCAAAAATAATTCAGTCAACATTATACATCTTAAGTTAAAGATACTTTACCATCATTTCACTTTGATTACAGCTGAAGGTTTATCCTTCCGGGTGTACAGCCCTCTAAATAATGGATTTAGTAATAGTACTGGTTCCATAAATTTTTAATAGCAATAGCAACCTTTTAAAACTGCATTTGAAAAAGTTTGACTAGTAAAAAAATAAGGAATAATTAGGCAGCTAAAATAATTTAAAGTAATTCACTGAGTGGTTATTGAGACGAATTAGCAGCCATTATCCTTAAGTTTTCATTCTATTTGCACTTGTTTGACCTAAAAAAAGTACTACACAGTAATTTCTTGGATATACTGTACTTTCAGAACTGCAACACTCACTGAATTAAGGGTTTTCCTCAACATTAGAGCTGTTTCAAGCTAGAGATTCCCCCTTCTGATAGGAAACTTATAACTGGCTCACTTTCTTTTCCTTTTCTACCACAGCCAAAAGGTTCTGATTAACAATTTCTTGAGGTTGTTAATACCTTTATTGCATGTTTTAGATGAATTGCAATTTCATATGTGAAAAAATAAATCACTCTGGGAAAAAGACCAAGTGATAAGAACAAAGTTCTAAATGTTTTATTGCCATGACTTTAAAACAAAATTCACACAGCTTTTACTGAAACATTTTCCCCAGATGATCATTTCACTCTCCAACAAAGGAAACCAAATATTTTTTTAATCCAAGACAAGGCAATTCTAAATCAGCATCAAGCAAAGTGCCACTTTAGAAGACCTTGCTTTGTTGGATGCAGAGTAAAATAATCTAACTTAAAGGCATGTGCGGAAGAAAAATCCATAAGGAACTACATCCAAAAGCAGAAGAGAAAGAAAAACGGTAAAAAGTGTGTCACAAGTTGAATGCGGGGAGAGCTCCAAGGGGTGCATTGACAGTGCAGGGAACAGCCCAGCTACATTCACATAATGAGTCCCAAAATGATCTACCTGGGAAGAAAACACAAGGTTGTTTCAACTTGCAAGAATCCCACAAGGATTCAGGGGAACTGGTATAGCCAAGAGCAGTGGGAAACAAAAGAAATTAAACTAAAAAGGCCAAAGTTCTAGTCCTAATTCTTTAGGCTTCCTGTATTGTACCGGATGAGCCTATTTATGCAATCCATACCAATCAACCAGGAAAGGATAAAGCTGCTTAAAATTAAAAGATGCCTTCTCAACACTGCAGTGCAATGCCCAGGGACAGTCTCAAAAAACTTGAATTTTATGTACATATTTTCAAAATCCACACTAAAAAACAGCCTTAAGAGAAACTATTTATTAATAAGGATTTCATATTTATTTACTGAAGTTACAGATGTGTGCAAACTGCACAAATCACAGAATCCTGAGCATTCTAATTAACGTATGTGCTGGAATGTGACTTGTTACCTTATCTTCCAGGGCAGCCATCCTTTCCTTGAGATGCAGCTGGAGCCTTTCATTGGATTCGGACAGAAGCTTATCAACAGTTTCTGACAAACGTTTATTATGCTCTTCATTCATCTTCTCTCTCTGTCTAGCCTAAGACACAAAAAAGCTACTGAAATAACTTCAAATTTTCAATGTCTACAACAATTTCCAGGTTATAAAGGCAGTAAGCTTTCTTTAACAGCAATATTTTTCCAGAGAGGAATACTGGATGGACCTCCAGGACTCTGTGAGGGAGTATAAGGGACACTTCAGAGTTTAATAACTGATCCAAAATCAGAAGTTTGAAAATCTGAGCCTACATTAAAAAAAAAAAACAAAAACCAAACAGAATTCAGAATGAATTCTATTATTTATAACCCAGAAACCAATTTTTCCATAGTCATTTAATTCAGCAAGTTTTTGATCTGTCTCTTCATCAGAAAGTATGAATAGTAATCAAATATGAATAGTAATAGTAATATTACTAGTAATATTGAATATATTTTATTGAGTATGTGAATATATATTGAGTTTAAGAATAGTAATTGGATATTTTCTATTTTCAAACTTTCATTGCAGACTTTCAGCTTGCCCTTGAGATTTAAGGTGAGACATAGTATAGTGACTCAAATCTCCCAAATATCAGCCAGCCCAAACTCCGGCTTTCTTTTAAAGAGAGAAATAAAACCAGCTTTGCTGAACAGTAACAGCCATGAAGGGGATTGAATTCTTTCTTTCAGCTTTATATCTTTGTCAAAATTATGTACAATACCCTTTGCAGCTCTTGATTCTTCTCCTCTAGCTGTGCTTCCATCTGCCTCAGTCGTTCCTCGATGTTGCCATGTCTCTCCTCAGCCTGTCAATTTGAAAGCAAAATTAGAATTTGGGTGGGGTTTTTTTAAGGTTTCAAAAGCACAGAAACATTGAAGCACAGTAATATTTCTAACATGCTTTGCACAACCGCCATTTATGGTAACACAAAATGCAGAACAGATGCTTTTCTGTCACCAAAAACCTTGCAAGGGTTCATATGTGAGTAGCAAAATGAGGAAACCTCTCACCATGAATCCACTGCTCTTTGCAAATGAGCTTGCAAGAGCAGAAGTTCATTCACATCCCCAAGAATTAAAAAAGAAAAAGAAAATAAAAATAAAAACTAAGTGCATTTTCAGCTTTTCCTCACTAGCCTGGAGGATGTGACCCTGTGTTAGTACCCATGACAAAGCAGAAAGCAGCAAGCAGAAACAAGGACTAAGATACAAATTCTACCTTCCTAAGCTTGGTGGTAAGTTCCAACACTTTTGCATCTTTAGCAGCAGATCTCCCAGGAGACAAAAGGTCAGACTACAGAGTCAGTTAGGGATAGGAAAGATAACAGGGAAAGAAATGAAACTAAGACTTTCAAAGAAAGCACGCACACACACTTGAAAAGGCTCACTTGCAGTTACTAAATATAATTCTTCACACTTCATTAGCTCATTTGCAGCCCTCTAAAAACCTTGATATTTATTGGTATCATTACTTCTCTTGCTCCCCATACTCTTCACTTGGTTATCAGTGAAAGGATTTGGGGTTTCCCCTTCAGAAATAGTTCATTTTAGAAGGATTTTATGCCTAACATTAAATTGATTTTAATAAAGAGCACCAAAGTAATAATTCAGAGAGACATTTTCATAATGTAACATCATTAACAGAAAATCTGTTCAAGTTCCAAAGAGTAGAAATTTAAAAAAAAAAAAAATTTAAAATAAAAATCAAGAAGAGTGTCTTCAGAGAGGTGAACGGGAAAAGTAGAGAGAACAGGGATAAATATTTTCTGACTTATTTGTGGGAAAACCAGAATGTAACAAAGCCAACACTAACACCAGATTTCGTGCAGTGGGACCAATGGAGAACAGAGTCTGGAGGACACTGTCCAGGAGGCCTCACCTTTGTAAGTGCTGCAACTCTCTGGGCCAGCTCAGCTTCCACCTCTGGCAAAGTCTCAGCCTTTCTCAGGGTCTGCTGCAACTTTTGCTCAGCCAGTTCCAGTCGTTCCTGCAATTGCCTGTTCTTATCTTCACTCTGCACAGGATCACAATCAAAAATGCTTAGGGTTAAAAATGGTAATTAATTGTCAAAGCAGCAAAGAACAAGCTGTGAATTTTCTACATCAAGTCTGTGCTAAGACAAGGGACAAATTCCACCATATTTTAAACACTGTGCATATTACTGCAAAATTTAATTTTTTTTCAAGTGTGTACAACTACTTTTATGAATTATACCAAAAGGAACTTCTCTTGTTGACTAAAGGTTGCCTGCCTCTAATTAGAAAGTGATTGGCTAAACAACCATTTCTGGTTTATAAAGCTGGACTTTCCTGTCAAGCACATTTCAAATTTCCACTCCCAGTAAAGCAACACTCACTTCTATTATAGTCTGTAAAAATCACTACACACTATACAAGTTTTAAAAGGTTTCAGCTTAGAATGAGTAATTCTCACACACGAACCTAAAGATGCTTGGATACACATATAACAACTTAAAAATCCACAACTAATAGGAACAAAAGCCATGATGCAGTGCACTGAAATTCTCTAAATCATTTCCCCTTCCCAGTAAAACTGTCTCATCTTCATTCCCAAGGTAAAACTCTGCCATGTACAAGTTACTGAAGAACAGTCACTACCAACAGCCCATTACAAATAACATTTATCTTCCTAAAAGCAAAGTGCTTCAGTAGAGCATGAACATGAATTATTTCCATGAGTTTTATGCCGAGCAAAATGCACTTTATCTTATTTCCAATTCCAACCTGTCTGTGCATGGAGTCTTTAGTGGCAATTTCATTTTCAAGTTTATCATTGAGGTCGTGCACAGATGTAGCTTCACGTTGTGCAGCGAGGTAGCGTTTCTCAAGAGTTGTAATTCTCTCTTCCATGTCTTCCTTTTGGGCCATAGTCTGTGCAAGACACAAAGCAGAATTCAGAATACGAGAGAGAGTTATTTTGTGATCAAACTGGGGGGCAAACCCTAGAAATAATAAAAATTAAAAAATAAAAAATCCGACATTTCTGTTATTTTTCTCGGTATAAAATGAAGTAGAAAGAAGAGCCTCACTTAGACTTACAAGTTTAATTACTTTTTTAAAACAGTGAATGATTAAAAAAGACTCATCTTTATTATCTTACACCACAGATCTGCTACTTACCTTTTCAATGGTACAAACACAGCAAATCTTGATGTGCTGGGGATGGTCAGAGAATGTTCTTGGACTTAACTAAGCACCCTATTTAACTTCTACTTAATTACAGTACACTGCAATAAATGGGACCTCGGATATTAGTGACTGATCAGGAACTGTCAGTGACAGCACTGAAATTAAAGTGATTCTTCCTCCATGTACATCTTTAAAAAATTTAAACTTTATGAATAAGCTTAGCTTTTATGACAAGATCAAGCACCTTTTCAAGAACATGGTAAAGTTTGCAATGTTAAATCTCCAATATATTAATGAAATATCTAAGTCATAGATTTAGCATGAAGATAAATTGTCTTAAGCAACTGGTCTTTTATATTAAAGAAGGAGATCATGCCCTGAACTATTTTCTTCTCATCTATCAATACAAAGACATTCAAAAGCATAAAGGTTCAACTGAGCACCAATAAGACTAAAACTCGATAAAGCAGTTGCATTTGGTACTCCCCAAATTCTGTCAGCTCCCTCCTCACCTCTCGTACATCTCTCTGTAACTTTGTATTCATTTCTTCAGACTTTATCAAGTCTTTTCTGGCTGTGTCAAGATCTTCTTCCAACTCTGTCACTCTGCTGGACAGAGCAGTGAGACGTTCTTTCATTTGTGTCTGCTCTTTGTTTTGCTTATCTATAATGTCTTGGAGTTCAATCACTTTAGCAAGGTTTTCATCATGGCATAAAGAACCATCAGAGGATCTCTATTAAACAGGAAAAAAAACACCTGTATTTGGCATGTTGCAAATAAGATTGAAAAACAAACTATTACTCACCTGTAAACACCCCTCCACAAGGATAATTTTATTTTTGGATAGATTGCAAAAATTGAAATTGTGGTAGCTAAGACTTTTTAATTAGATGATCATGCAAAAATATCTTATTATAGTTTAAAATTAAAATGTTACAGGTAATGATTAAAAGTCAGATGTCAAGTAAATAGCTGTACCTTTCCATTTGTAGTCGGTGTATTTTCTTGTTCATGATTTATATCCAGCATCCCATCTGGAAGTGTTTTCTTCTGATTATTTTGCTCTTTCAGAATCATTAACTAAAAGAAAAGTTTACACACACAGGTTTCAAGTCAATTCCTTTCTCACTAATAATATAAGGAACAGCTGAAAAAGCAAAGGAGCAAAATAACAATTACTTATTCTACTGCAAGGTATTTATTAATAAAACAGCACAGGCACCCAACTTAGGCCACTGCAACCCAAAAATTCTTATTTTAAAGCCATACGAACTCTTTCTTTTATTTTGTTTTGTTTGGGAGTTTTTTGGAGTTTGTTGGGTTTTTTGGGGGGGGGGCAGAAGGTGTCAGAGGATTGAGGTTTGCTTTTTTCCCCTCCTGCTCTTTCAAAGCAACCAAGTTAAAAATTAATTGTTGTTCCATTTGGCAAAAAACCAATAGCAAGAAGTGAAAGTGAAACTTAATAAACTATTATGTAGAAATATTGACTAAACTGCCCACAATGCACACATGAAGACTTAACTTTTAAGACAGAAACCTACCTCTTTATGTGTAGTACCTAGTTCTTCTTCCAATAAGCTACATCTTTCCAGTGCTACTCGTAACCTCTCCCTTACCTGAAAAGGTAATTTCAAATTATTTGAATAATTCAAATCAGAAAGAAATCAATTTCATTTACTGCCATGCCCTTTCGGATAATAAATGACACTATTTCCATTACACCTGCTTAATCTGCAGTCAGTACTAATTACAACACAAAAAAATAGCCAAATAATGTGTATCTTAAAAATCTAGTTTTTCCTTTTTTGTCATAAGCAAATAGTATTTCAAGACGACCTGTATATTTAGGCAAGAATTAAACATGCCCAGAATTTGCCTGTTCTTTTGAAAGGCACAGAGTGTGTAGGCTTTTGCTTATTTCTGCTTAAAGTAATTTGCCAGATTTTATATCCAAGGGTCACAAAAGTCAGGTAAACTGTGAGCTGGCAACAAAACTCACAGTGAACTTTAGGACTTGCATATCCTGCTGCCAATATCAGGCACAGCTGAAGGGAGGGGTTCCTTTAATTCAGCTTCATATCACAGTGTAAGCAGATTCCTCTCTTCCTGTTCTCTCTTCCTTATATTACATAATCAAAAGACTAAATTCTGATATTGTAGAGCTAAGCAACTGTATGCAATCCTACAGCAAATATATTGCCCCTGAACCATGCTGAGTTTACATTAACAGAGCTAATGAAATACTAGAATCAACCACAGCACCTTGATTTATTTCCACATTAATTTAGGAGAGCAGGTAGTGGATGTAGTTACAGTTCAGAGATTTCTACAGCTTTAGCACAAAATGGCCCACACAAAAGAGGGGACAGGATGAAGCACAATATTTCATTACCTTTTCATCAAGGGCTTTATGGTGCTCAAATAAAGATTTTAGTGCTTTGAGAACTTCTACTTCACTAGAAACTCCTGCTGGAGACTGAGCTTGCCTCTTCACCACAGTCATTCTCAGAGATCGCTCGTGCCTGGAGACAAGACACTCCAAATGTTCCAGTAACAGCTAAAGCAAGAAAAAGGAACAATGTTTATTCCTGTTCTGAAAAGCTACAGAAAACTTTGCCTCCTAGAACATTAAGTTTTGAGCTCTAAACTTCAAATCTCAGAGACAAAGAACGTTGTATCAAGAGTAAGGACCAGTTTTTAACATTTGACCTGCATTAGCAGCGTAAGCTGCTCAAACAGATCCCTACAACCCACCCACTCTACTCCTCTGATCCCAGGAGCTGTGTGATTACAAAACTTTCACAACCAGAAAGCTGAATGGCAGACATGGTGCAGTTGTACAAGCTTTTCCTGATTTGGCATAGCAGCATTTGGAGCTGTGCATATAAGCTTCCAAACTTTCTTAACATACATTTGCACTTCCACAGGGATTCATGTGCAAATATTGGGGAAACACTTCTAGCTTTTCAAATTCAACATTCAGTGTTTTCCTCCATTCTTTAACAATGGTGAGCTTGGAGAAGACAAGGAACTAACCCTGGTATTATTTCTTTCTGCTTTCAGTTCAGCGATTTCTTCTTCCCTTTCCAGCAGCTGCTCCCTGCATACATTGAGTTCTTTTGTAAGTGCTGCAAATTCCTGGAATAAACCAGACAGAAATATCAGGATACAGTGAGAGTGGATTCATGTGAACACCTGACAATTTCTTGAAGCATTCAGATGACTAAAGCCAATACAATTTACAGTCATGCTTAGGTTCAAACACTTAAAACGTTATGTTACCAACTGTAAAGACAAAAAAAACCTGTGAAGACAAAAGATGTTTGACCAGTACTTTTGAAAACTCATTTGTCTCTCAAGGCAGTTATCTGAGTTGGGGTTTCCCTGGTAAGCAAAGAGAAAAACATGTTTGTAATGCATTTTTTTTATGGTTTCAAAGAGCTGTTTCTTTTGTGTATTTTTTTTGTTCGTTGTGGTTTGTTTTTTTTTTTAACAACTGCTAAGGGAGACACAATAAAACAGAGCCCAGTAAAATAAAGAAATCAGAAAACATGATAAACTTCAAGTCAGGATGTAATTGTGAGAGACAATGCATAACCCTGCCATCTACCAGAATACAGCTACATACTGGAATTTCATTTATACCTTCTTTCAAATCTCACAAAACAGAACTGAAGCAGCGCTTTCCCTACAGTCCTGCTGGAAATCTCAGAGGATTAGAATAAGAATTTTCTCAAAGCCCTCACAAGGCTCACCCTTCAACTTCAATAAAGATCTCACCAAACAAAGCTCAACCAAAGTGAAATAGTACAGAGTGAAGTGCCATCGGGGAACAGGAACTGAGGTAACTCAGTTACTGCATGTTTATTACTACAGTGAATACAGAGTAGTCAACATTAAAGAGTACCTTTCTACACTTTTGGGTTTCTGTCAGGAAATGATTGTAGCAGTATCTGAAAGAGCCACTCCTTCCTACACCACTTCTGCTCTCTATCAACAGCCTCACTAAAAATATTCAACATAAAAGCCATTTAAATGTTTTATCAACTCACAGAGCACACCCTGAATAGAATAAAAGGTACAACTATACACTACATTTAGAAGCAAATACGGAGCATAACCTTATCTACCTACCTACTCTGGTATAATTTAAGTTGTAATCTGAACCATGTTGGCAATTAGCATTAATGCAAAAAGTAAAGGTGTGAATGTGAACAAGTCCATGTTGTAGAAAAAAGCTTGTAGGAAATGGGAAAAAAACTTCATGTGTTACCCAACACAACTTAGGATGTGAAAATAGATATGCATCTGTCACTCCAATGGCCAGTGAACACTTAAGAAGCACTTAGATAAGAAAACATTGAAATATTAGTAAATAATAGTCTTTTTTGTTGTAAAATAAGGAAAACACTAATAAACAAGAGACGTGTCTAACAAACAAGAGACTTATTTAATAAACAATGGATTGGTACAGCTGAACTGGTGATGATCAAGATGAGGTGAACACCACAAATGGTCACCTAAGTGGAGACACACCATGTGCACAAACACTGTTTCTCTAATTTTTTCAAACTCTGCAAAATATACTGTTTAACAGATAGTAGCTGCATGTCAAGTGAAAGCTTCAGATGGAGCTGTTTTGCAGAAAAATTCAAAGTGACGGGAGGCACATGCTTAAAAACAAAAGGCCACATCAACCAATTACACTACACTCTGCAAATTCTAACTTGCAGCTAAAACAGCCAGACACAGGCCAAGGACACTGCCATTTCCAAGATTCATTGGGAAAACTTTATTCTAAAATACACGTGACTGAAGAGACAAAAAGTTTGTTGCGCATTACATACTTACAGTGAACTCCTTTGGAATTAGTCATGTATGAGGCTTTTAAAAGTAAAGACAGTAATCCCACCGTCACAGATGCAGAATCCACCCCAATAATCCCTCTTCCTAAATAAAAACCTGCTTATTGGAAGAAAGTTTCAGTATAGTCTCCTATTATCAGGAGGTTAATCAGCAAATTACTGCAAAAAGTCTTAATTTATTTTCTTTTTTCAACTGCTAAAAAAATGACTTCTCTACCACACTTCATATTTACACACATAAATATTTCACTGCAGTATTTTATTTGCATCCTTAAAAAAAAAAAAACGGAAAGAAAGGCCTAATGATTTCAAAGTGGTCTGGAAATACACTTAGGAGAAAAAATAAAAAAGTAAATCCAGCTACTGGAACTTTTATACACACAACTACAAAAGTAAGTCAAGAAAAAGCTACTTCAGGCTTCACTGGAGCTGATAAAAAAATTGCCTCTACTACAAGCTGTTCCTTGACATCCAAACTTTTCCTATACCTTCAACATCCCACCTGTGAGACTTTCCAGGACTCTGTGTGAGCTTCACCAGCTGTGTATTTGAAAGGAAGTCTATTCACTCATCGAATGGTTGCAGCACAGAGAGTTCTATCCCACTGCATACTTGTGTGCAAATATAAACTGTAGCACAAATACATCAATTCTGACACGAACCATCACCCTTGTCAGATGACCCAAAACAACAGAGCACCCAGGAATTTATATTGCTGCTGCATAAACACATTGGCATGAATTTCTGGCATTGCACAATAACCTCCACTGCTGGGTGTTTTGACAAAATACAGTTGCTTTGAGTCCTGTGAGCTGCCTAATAAAGAACATTTGAATGTCCTTAGTTTCAGCTGACGCTGCCAAAAGACATGTCCTTTCTAGTTTTAATACTTACTTCCACTGGTAGACAATTTGTGATTTCCCCAAGCAGCTCAGGAGAGAAACTATCTGCAACATTATAATCTCCAAATATTCTGAGTTGTCTCATAATTTCTTCTTCGGCATTAGATGAATGTACAGAAAGAATTAAAGGAAAAAGGAAAAATCCTGAGAAACTTTCCTACTTATCCAAAAAGCTGATTATTTTTCAGTAATTAAGAAGATTGAGATCATCAGTTCTGCTCAAAATAATAAATACACAACTCAGGGTTGACTAGAATGGCACTTATAACAAGCACTTTCAGAGCACATACAGAAGAGAGAGTGCTGAATTTTCCAGGGAAATATTCCCTGCTGATCAGAACATTCTGGCAAACACCCATAGGCTACACTAAACTGAAATGTTTACTGGAGAAAGTCAATTTCTGACCCAACTGCATCATTCCAAACACATCTCTCTTGCTGCCAGAAACAAATACTCTCAAAAAAAAGCTACAGTGAGCAAGTAAATTTGTTCCTGTTCAGCAATACATCTTCAGGGGGTTTTTTTGTTCACAAACTCCATGATTTTTTAAAGCAAGAACACTTCTTCTCCACCAACCTTCAGAATTGACCTCCAACCTTTAATACTTTTGAGGTCACAATATAAACATCCTTTCAAAAGTTGGATCAACTGGTGCCTGGCTGTAAAGCGTGCACATTTCTGATGTCTGAGCTGACAGACACTTGGGTACTTCCAAGATCCCAGTCCAGGAACATTAACAGCTTTCAGGGAACAGGTTCTCTTCATGGTTATTACAAACATAATTTATAGGCTCCACAGATAGTACATGACAAACCAATAAATGCTAGATGACAGGAAGACTATATTTAACCTAAGGGGAAAAACTTGAAAGGAACACAGGTAATCCCTGGAAGTCTGTTAATATAAACTGTGTATTAGGGATGCTCTACAGACAACGAACTGTAAATTTTCTTGGAATTTGATCAAGAAAAAAAACCTTATTCCGCAAGAAATGCAACACCTGTGAGTGCATAAGGAATCACAGATTACAGGCAACAACATGGCCAAAAAACATATAAAGGATGGAAAGATATGTAAAGAAAACCCCAAACATTTTCAATTCATCAAAGAACATACTACTATTAAAGTACTGTAAAATACCACTGTTAAAATACTAGTTTTAAAGTAGTAACTTCAGGCAACAGAAAGATAAAGTTGCAACTGTTGCATCTTTAGGAACATCTCTGAGAGAAATATATGAGTGGAATTTATCTCTTTAATCTCCAAGGAATATTTTGTTTTACTGTCATTCTGTTTTGTAGCCTGAATATCAAACAACCCACTCACAAAGCTGAGCAGCTGAAAGGAGCACAAGAAGAACAAGTGGGGAAAGTGCAGGACATCAGGGATGGAAACCAGTGGGATCTGAGATAAGTTTCCAGCATGATGTTTACACCACATATAAGCCACAATTATTCCAAATGATGCATGCACGGAAATGACAAATATACACTCTTAAGGAAAACAATCAAAGAAAATTTAAATATTTAAGCTTAACAGGGTATTTCACAGTCACTTCACTTTAAGGGTTTTAGGGAGCACACAGGGACCAAGATCCCCAATATATCTGAAAGTTCCTAACAAGCAAATTTCGGTTCAACTAGTTTTGTCTGGGGTTTTTTTTAGGCTAAGAATCAAAACAATGAAATACTTCAAGGCTATTGAGAATTAAAACTGAAAAGAACTGATATGTTTTCATCATTAAATCCAGTCCTCGAAGAAAACACAGTTACAAACACTTTAACAGCAACAAATCCAGAAAAAACAAACCACCAACACACATTATGCTTGGCCTGTTCCATGTAATAAAACAGATTGCTTTCAACCTTTCCATATCTCTGGCATGTGCTAATGGAAAAGAGAAAAATCAGCCTGGAGTGTGCAAAGAGAAGTATTTTGCTTTTCACCTAGTGAAATTAATTTCCAGTAAGTATCAAGCAGCCTGGATTTACTAACCTGGAATCCTAAAACTTATTTCAAGCAGTAAGAGAAACAGTTCTATGAAATAAGTTTATGTTTTGTTCTCAAAAACCCCAACAACTTAAAAGGAAGTGTAAGAGAATAATTAAAATATGGATATGTCAAATCTTGCATTTCAGAACACTGAAAGGCTTTTCATGCTTAAAGTAGCTGTTTTTTCAACTAGAGCTGAGTGAGAATACACTAGAGCTCATTATATAATCAGTGTATTGACCTCCTTTCCTATTTCTGTGTATGCATAAGATGTTTTATAACTCAAAAGACAACTACCAAAACCCAGGTGCAGATTTCTTTAATCTTAAAAAACCTCTCCCATCCCAACTAGTGGCATTGAGATATTTAAGATGTTTA